AGAGAGAGAGAGAGAGAGAGAGATAAAAAAAGTCGTAATAAGTGAAAAATACGATAAGTGAAAAAAAAAAGAAAATGTATTTTTATACTTATTTGATATCCAACGAATTGGAATCCGTAAATTTATCGAGCGTCGAGTTTAGAGACGACAGACGATTTTATTAGAAAATCGAAGATCGAATTCACGTTTCTTCTCACAAATATAATATTGTTTGCATTATAATGTTGTTGTTCAATTTTATCATTTCGAACGTTCCCCCGCAATTTCGTTGCACGATTTCCCTCTCTTCCCTTACCCTCCCTTCCGCCCTCCCTGCGCTAATATTATTTGATGTTTACGTAAGAATGTTCGAACAGCGACGCCGAAGCGTCTGTCTCTTGTAACGTTCGCGAATCGATCGTTAAAACTGATTCTATTCATACGAAACCTATTTTTATCGACATAGGCGAAATACCTAGATTGTTCGAGCGAGATTTCCAGCGATATTAGATCGCAACGAATCGATATAAGTCGAAGAAAGGTACAACGAATATGATACGACGTACGTACGTAAAAATAAAAATTTAAAAAATAAAAAAAGAAAAAAAAATACAAGCGTAAGCGTAAAAGAAGAAGAAGAAAAAAAAAAATCTTCCGACGAAACGAAAATCGCGTGTCCATATCGACGAGAAATTCCTATCGCATGCAGATTTCGTGGTCGTAAGCGGAATTAATCCACGAGGAAGTCGCATATTTTCATACACGGCCATAACTGAACTGATTGCGCAATGCGATTTCTCATTTTACAACACACATACGATGCGGGGTCGTAAGATAGAAAATCGTGGCCACGATCGGTAGATTCTTCGTTGATAATCTCTTCATCTCTTCGTCCTTTGAAAGCCGCGTTAAATGCACACGCAAATGACTTGAAATTAACCGGGCGTAAACAACGTCTCTCATTATTAATAAATTGGTGAATGGGAGGATGTGACGCGAGACGCATGGTTCACCGGGAGGGAATATACACAATTACGTCGAATCGAAGCGAATATGTATAATCGCCTTCTGTTTATCTTCATTGTAACGTTTAACGGAGAAAAAGAAGAAGAAATTGGTTCGAAAGGTACGTTAAACGGAGGATCACGTTTTAGACATTCGTCTGTGCTCGCTTCGTCGGGTTTCTCGGTTCACTATAAATAGATGACAAGAAAAGGGGGGAATTAATCAGGCTTACCGAATGGTAATTCGTGTCACAATTGCGTACGATCGCGCAAAATCAGTCGTATCGCCGTTCACGGGAGAGATATTTATTAAACAAATTGATTTCTTCGCCGCGGTTCGACACGATCTGCCCTTGACACGGTTATTGAGTCGATGATAGTTCTCATAAACGGGGTACCCTAGTTGTCTTTTACACGAGTATCTGGTGCTGGCTTATGAAAATTTTCAATCCCCGCCACGCGCGATATTCCACGCGTGTACAATTTCTCATTTGTCATTTGCGTTCAATTCGATTTATACCGCACGATTGTGCAGTTTCTAAGTAGAGTCGTCCGATACGAATCGGACGACATCGCGAACCACTTTCTTGAAAATGGATCAATGGCGGGAATGGATTCGTAAAATTAGTAGAAACTGTGCCAAAGAGAAAAGAAGGGGTCAAAGCGACGATAAAATTGCGATACGATACGTTTCGCGAGGACGAGGTACGTAACGCGTCCCATTCTCGGTTTCCATTCATCTTGGACGACGATTTAACCTGTCGTTAACGACCACCTGACCTTAGCTAACGATAGGAGAAGAGAAGAGTTGTCAGAGGGAGGTGGATAGATAGGTTCGAAGGTCAGTAAAAGCGCAAATACGCTAGTCCGGTAGAGACTGGTCGATCAGAGTTGGCAACACCAGAGTTCGTTGAGGGAAAGTAGGGAAAGATGTAAGGCGAATTCTATTTGTACGAGGAGGCGAGGAAAGTGGAGATCGTTGGCCAATCGAGGGAAACGAAAATGGCGGGGGATTGGCTGCGACGAAGATCGATGCGCAACGAGGCGCGCGCGCGCCTGCTCCTTCGCTCCACATTTCTCCGCTCTTCCCTTCCGCACGACACGTTACCGCGTTACACGTTAAACCATTATACGCGTCGACCACGAAAAACAACGAAGGGCAAGGAAAAAGAAGAGAAGAGGGGCTTTGGTCGAGGAGCTTGCGTTTCGACTCGGGAGGATACGTTATCCCTGCGTATATAATACGATAGAAGGAGGGGGATAGATCGCGTCTCTTCCCTCCCTTTCCCCCTTCTACATGTCCTCTCCCGATTTTCCTCCCCGAGGAAGTCGGCCAGTAGAATCTCGGCCGATACAAACGCATGGAACGGCATCTAGTTGGCAGGGAAGCGCGTCGAGTGGACAGTTGGGAGTCGGAAGAGAGCGTATGCGCCATATGTACATAATTACCACGGGCCAATCGGGGATTGAAAGCGGTGCACAAGTTTGTCGTAGCGTCGAAGCTCCAGGGTCTGGCTCGTCCCGTTGGTTCCCTCGCGTGCGTGCATAAGCGCGCGCGCACACACAGCCGCGCAACGGTGGTTCAGTTGGTTATTGACGTTCGTGTGCACGGGGCGCGTTGCTAGACTCTGTTCAACCACACTCTGTTCGAAAGTCGGGAACAGTAGCGAAAGGGAAAGAGGGAATTGGCGCGTGGGTATCTTTCGGTTGCTTTCCAAGATCCCAAGAGAGGAAACCGGATACCGAAGAGAAGAGAGAAGAAGGAGAAAATAACCACTTCGGGGCCGGGAGAAAAAAGGAAAGACGAGTGACTGTGATCGCCGCCCGGAAAAAAATATCCGAGCGAGGAGAGAGAGGTTATTGCGAAACCGAGCTACATGGCTCCGAAAATTATTCCTTCTTTCCACCGTCCACGCGTTCTTTGCTATCCACGTTCGAGCGAGTACCACCGGTTCGATCAACCGAAGGGGACCTCCAAATAATTCTCGAATAATTCTTGAATTGATTTTCGATTCGTTCGAGGCGAAGAAGAGCGAAGTCCATCCAGATTTCGATTTCCGACCTCCGCGTTGTGTTAAATCGCATCTTGAACACGATATAACACGAGAGTGGACACGAGTAGGGACGACCGTGCGGCAAGGGAAAGCGTAAAGGAAGAGCATAAAGAAGGAAGAGAGTGCAAAGGCATGACGAGTATGACGAGCATGCGAACGATGCCGCCCGTTTAACGAATCGCTGTTTATAATATTTTATTACACGGTTGGAAAACTGCTCTCTCTATACCGATCCAAGCTTATGTCACACGGAAGACGAAAGAGGAGAAAAGCGACGAGAGAGGAAGAACGTGACGCAGTGAAAAAAGAGAGGACGGAAGATCGGGAATGCATGTTCCAGGACAATAATCGTGACAACAGCGATAATCGTGAAACGTGAGCTTCCTTCGATTCCTTCGAGTTGTTAAAGTGATTAATCTCTCTTTTCGCGTGGCTGGACCGCGAGTCAACGCATCGTCCCTCTCTCCAACGACTTCGATGCTTTGTTTTCGCAAACTAATGTTCACGCTTGTACGAACAGAAACCTTTTTAACGTGTGATCGACGTGCACGCATCACGCTTCTTCGATCACCCCCTTCTCGTCCCCTTTCTTTCGTCTGATTTCGTACATTTCGAAATTCGCGTTCGTCCTTTTTCCATCTCTTTCCGTTCCGTATTATAATATTCGCTCGCGTCGAAAACAAATCGAAAACAAAAACAAATCGCACTCTACGTACGACGATTTTATAACAATAATAATAACAACAACAATAATACGATCTATGTATCGATTAAATTAGTCTTCTCTCAGAGACGGATATATATATATATATATTCGAATCGTCGAGTTGCAATTCCCGCTCGAATTATCCTTCTGCCTCGCAAAAACATCGCACGACGTTTTTTGCGACGAGCCACGAGGTTTTTCAACCGTTTTTTCAAACGAGACGTCGCGATACCGCGTCGATCGATGCTGAGAAAAAACACAATTTTTCACGACGTAAGGCGTAAGGATAAGAAGGCGAATAGGGAGAAAAAGAATAACAATACCTCTCTACGCGTGTATTCTCTCCTTCCCTTTGTTCGCGGAAAGGTGTCTGCGTCCGCGTGGGAGCCGTTTCGACGAGGTGGCGCGTTCTTCGTACCAGGCATGCCTTCCGCGTTATCCTGAGCGATTTTTTCCTACTCGGTGAACGTAATTATATTTCTGAGAGATTATTTATTTAAAGAAGAAGAAGAAAAAGAAAAAGAGATATATGATTAAAAGAAATATTCTTGTAATATAGAGAGAAAAAGAGAAAAAGATCCTCTTATTGGGATTCTTTATTTGTTGAACTGCCGTCACCGTTCTTCGTAGTCGTTGACGCGTCGTCGTCCTTGTTGTTATTGTTACACAACCGTTGTTGCACCGTCTCGTGTAATAGTTTCTCGTCGCTGCCATTCTATTACGCCGTTCTCCTCTCGTCTCCCTTGCCGCCGGTGATTGTGTCGTTGCGGTGGTTTTCTCCACCACCCTCCCTTCCCTCTCCCCTCTCTCCAACCCCCCGCCGCTCAAAAAAATATCATACATCTCCACATTCTTTTCTAAATATCAACAAACTCGATCCGATCTGCGAGTCCATTTCCCCTCCCGAAAACAAAATAAAGAAGGAGAGAGAGAGAGAGAGAGAGAGAGAGAGAGAGAGAGAGAGAAAGAGAAAGCAAAAGGGAAGAAACGTTCGAACTCGTCCTTTTCGTCTTTGGAAACAAAAGACTCCGAAGTGAAGCATGGTAGTCAAGAACGAGAATACGAGAAATGGGCATGAGCTGGCTCCGTTGAACGAGGAACGTCAGGCAGGGCAGAACGTGACAATCGTGGTAACCGGGAATCAAAATGCTGCTGGCAGTCAAGAAACCAAGGAGGAGAATAGGGCGGAATGGAGCGGGAAGATGCAATTTTTCCTCAGTATTATCGGTTACAGCGTGGGACTTGGGAATATATGGAGATTCCCTTACCTGTGCCAACAGAACGGAGGAGGTAAGTAACGTATATATATGTGTATATATACATATAATCTTATCTCTCTATTAATTTGAACCTCGCCTCTCTGTCACCTCTCTTATATAAAAAAATAAATAAACAAATAAGATAAAGATAGAGCGAAGGCGAAAAACCGAATCTTAACGAATCTTAAATTTTGAATTCAAACAACTCGATTACTCGTGTGAAAACGTTTTCCTACGACGAAGAGATGGATCCTAAAGCTGGTCGAGTCGAATGGCCACGTATACGCTATTTTCGGTCACACTGTTCGACCAACCTTCTCCCTCTCTCCCTCCCCTCCCTCTCCGTATTCCGCTTAAAAATATATATATATATATCTCTTCAAAGTGTTCTTCACCGTCCTTCGAAATACCAAGGAGTATACGTTGCGAGCCGGTGGACCAAACGTGTCATCCTCCTCCTCCTCCTTCTCCTCCTCCTCGATTTCGTCTCATTCTTCCCCCTCCCCCTGCCCGATATTACAAAGTACAGAGGGAAATCCGAATAAAATCCTATAAAACGCGCCCTTGAAACCCCTCCCCCTCCCCCCCTCTTCCTCTTATCCATGATCTTTCTTTATCCACGACCTATACACCCCGCCAGACGTGGTAACTCGATTACATTCCGATGCAAACGAAACGGAAATACGCGTTATATCGCTGGATAGAGATAGGCGCGTGGGTGGATGCGCGAACGAGGGTGAGCCACGAATGAAAATCACGCCGGTAGGCGGTTACGTCACCTACGTAGGAGACCGTAGTTTACACGAACATTGGAAACGGGCGAATTTCGTCCCGGGTGGAAATTTCCATCGTGCCAACACACACACACACGCATGCACACGCACACATGCACACACATACATACACAAAGGATAGAAAGATACCTCTATATGGATATAGCTCTATGCGCAGAAGAGACCGAGTTTTCTTGGCCGCTTGGGTCGCGTTTCTTTTAACGATTTGTATATACTGGGAGGCAGGGAGGAGGGGAGGGGTGGGGAGGGAAGGGGGAGAGGGAGGGCGAAAACGAGCAAGGACCCTAGCCGCGCGATTCTCAATGGAAATTTCCTTTTCGCGACGACCGATGTCGAGGCCGGCTGTTCTCGGCCCGACGCGCGTCGATCGATTTTTTAACCGTTCTATCGCCGGATACGTAACAATTTTACGTATCCGCAATCCGGGTTTTATCAATCGTTTATTTATTCTGCCCTCTCGCTTGAAAGAAATGTCGAGAGGCGCGAGCGAACGTTTCGTCGAAGGTCGAGGAAATTTTTTGAAAATCGATTCGACGTCATGCCCTTGTCCTTGGGGGAAAAAATAAATTGCGAAAAAATAAAAACGCATAATAACAACAAGAGAGATAATGCATCAATCTCTTGAAGAAGGGACGAGATTCTCTCGCTTCGCGAATATATAAGGAACGCGCAGAATTTAAAATTATATTTTCGAGATATAAATAACGAATAAAGAGACGGAAGATAGCGTTTAGGAATATACGTATATTCCTCGTCGAATTTTTAACGTGACGTTTTATGAAATAAACACGCGGCTGCCCAACGCATCAAGAAAAGAAACAAGAATTTCAACCGGCCGATTTATCGGGGTCTCGTACTCGAAACCAGAAGAACGTGAGTAATCGCTTCGATATCGCGACCGAACATGATACCCGATTGATCAATAATTTTTCACGCGTCCACGCTGGCTGGCGAGATATTTTCGAGTTGACGAACGAAAAAATACGAAAGGACGAAAAATGAAAAAAGAGAGGAATGAAAAGGAAGGAAAAGGAGGGGGAAAGAAAAGGAAAAAAAAAAAAAAAAGAAACGAGAAGAAAGGAATGTACGAAACGAAATCAAAGGTGCAAGGTAATAATCTAGGTATGTACCGTACTACGTACGTATGTACGCGTCACTCGATCAATACCGAACCAGACACTCCGGCTGCGGCCGTCTCAAACTAGACTACCGTGAAAAAAAAAAAAGGGGGAACGGAGAATATTCTGTGAGCAGGGACACGCCGGCGAGCCGTTGCCAAATGGGAAAAGATTAAAAGAGACCGGTTACAGGCATTCATTTCGTAATAAGGGGTGAGAGGGAACAAGAGAGGTGGCGGGGAAGGGGGCTAACGAGCGATATTATTTTACAGTAGTAGAGAAAGAATAATAGGAAGGAAATACGGATACCGTTTGTTAGAAAACGAAAAGATAAAAAAAAAAAAAAAAAAAAAAAAAAAAAAAAGGAAAGAAGGACGAGAATGAAATAGGGCAGGGAGAAATAGAAATGTTTTATATGCGAAAAACGGTTTTCAGGTGCCTTTCTCATCCCCTTTTTCGTGATGCTAATCCTAGAGGGTGTACCCCTCTTTTTAATCGAGCTGGGTCTCGGTCAACGTATGCGACAGGGCGCCCTTGGTGTGTGGAACACGATACATCCATGGTTAGGCGGTATAGGGATAGCATCGTGCATCGTCACCTTCTTCGTAGCACTTTATTACAACGTCATCATTACCTGGTGCTTCTATTATCTTTTCAATTCACTGGAGGTGAGTTCCCTCTGACCACCGATCGATTCGATCGATACGCGTAACGGACGCGTAGACAGAGAGATACACGTTGTCGTTCCGACGTCGATCGAAAACGAGGTTGATTGATCGGCGGAATACGAACGGCAACTGGTATAACTGGCGGGAATAGAAGTAGTTTCATAGATCGTTCGACTAACGAATGTGATTTATGTTTCACGCCGCGCTCGATTAGGCCGTCACGATTAAAGCTGGCGTAAGTATCTGTCGATTTTAATTTTCATCACGCGAGTCCCGCGCTTGGAAAGCTAGTAGAGAAAACGGAATCGCGCATGTGATTTTTTTTCTCTCTTTTTTTCTTTTTTCTTTATTTATTTTTTTTTTTTTTTAATGCGAATATCATTAGACGCTTGCATCTACATTTTCCGCTTATAACGCGATATAAACGAATTTGACATTGAACGATCATACGATATGATTGAATCGTTAGGAACCGTTACCATGGGCGAAATGTCCGGAGGTTGATGGGAAGCCGGTAGAGGAATGCGTGAAGAGTTCGGAAACTGCCTATTTTTGGTACAGAACCACTCTGGACGCGGCACCCTCGATCGAGGAAGGATCGAGCAGTCTGAAATGGTGGATCGTCCTTTGTCTACTGTTGAGTTGGATCGTCGTCTTTTTTATCGTGATGAAAGGAATACAATCATCGGGGAAGGTAAGAAGAATGAAAAACGTACAAATCCCTCTCATCCGTTTTGTTCTTTTTCCTGAGGGAGAGGGGTCTGCATCTTCTCTCTGCTTCCTCGTTCGAGCAAAATTGCCGAAATCGAATAATATTAATATTAATATAATATACCAACATGATTCTTTTGTTTCTGCTTGATTTAAAGGTGGTATATTTTACATCCATGTTCCCGTATTTGGTGCTTACTATCTTTTTTATTCGTGGAATAACATTAAAAGGTGCCAGCGCTGGATTGGCCCACATGTACACGCCAAAGGTAAATTCACTTTTTCTTCTTTCTTTTCCCACGAGATTTTTTGCGCCTTAGTGTAACAAAAAAAACGTTCCCTTTTTTATCGACAGATCGAGAAACTGTTAGAGCCGACGGTCTGGCTCGACGCAGCGACGCAAGTTTTTTATAGTTTCGGACTAGCGTTCGGCTCCCTGATCGCGTTCGGATCTTACAACACTCCAGACAACCACTGCGTCCGGGACGTGATTCTGGTTAGCTGTTGCAACGCCTTCACCGCAATTTACGCGAGTATCGTGATATTCGCCATTCTAGGCTTTAAGGCGATGACAAATGTCGATAAGTGCCTCGCAGGGTAAACTGTTTTTCAAATCAAATTGGATATAATAATAAAATGGATGGATATAATAATAAAAAAAGAAAAATATCCAAAAGTGTTAATCATCGTTCCAACTTTGATTTCCCTTCTGTTCCAGTAATAAAGACTTACTCGTTGAACACGGATTTGCCTATCAAAACACCACCATGGAGAGATACAAAGATATTGTAAATAATCTCAATGTAACAAAAATGAATTTCACCCTTGAAACATGTAGCCTGAGCGAACAATTGGACAACGTAATTATACGATGAATATCTTCTTTCTAATTTTCTTTTATATAATTATTTTTAAACAAGAAAATCGATTTCAGGCTGCCGAAGGAACGGGATTAGCTTTCATAGTGTTTACGCAGGCGATAGTCGAGCTACCAGGCGCTCCTTTCTGGTCCTGTATTTTCTTTCTGATGCTTCTAGCCCTCGGTCTCGGTTCCCAAATCGGTATACTAGAGGGCATGCTGTGCGTCATCTTCGACATAGATCTGTTCAAGAGAATAAAAAAGCAATACATGACAGGTAGGAGGATCCATCGGGTGTATTTTTTTGTCGCGATAGAAAGGTGCAAAAGAAAGGAGGGGTTAAACGTTAAAAACATTTTCAATGGTGTTAAACGATCCTTTTTTTCTTAGGGGTAGTTTGCACGGTGTGCTTCTTTGTTGGTTTAATATTCTGTACCGGAGCCGGAGAATATTGGCTAAAGATGTTCGACAGTTTCGCAGGTACCATCGGTCTCGTGATGGTCGCGCTCATGGAAATGATTTCCGTCATCTTTGTTTATGGTCACGAAAAGTACGATCGAAATATTATTTAATCTCTTTCGTTCAAATAAACGATTTAAAATAGAATTGACCGAGAGAAATTCTTTTCTGATTTTCTTTCTCAGATTCACGAAAGATATCGAGGAGATGACAGGATACAGACCAGGAGTGTATTGGCAATTCACCTGGCGATTTCTCGCTCCCATAATCATGGTCTGCATCCTTGTCTCCAGTATAATCTCCATGGTTGTGAAGAAGCCTCAATATTCCGCGTGGGATGCGTCACGGGTGAGTAGTGGAAAATATTATCTCGTGACCCATATATCTCGTTGCCAAAATACCTACGTCACGACCTCGACATTTCTTTCTTTCTTTTTTTCCTTCCTTTGTTTTCAGGGCATAGCTGTACCCACCGCGTATCCCAGCTGGGTGTTGGCTATAGCGGTCGTCATCATTTTTGCGGGCATCGCGCCAATACCGATTGTATTCCTTTTGAGGCGGTTCCAATGCGTCAAGTTGGACGTTGACATTCACCAAGGCAGCATACGACGTATCGATACCACCGTTTCTACCAAAGAAATGATGGGAGATGTCGATGTGAGTAGATAAAAAAAAAGGAAAAAAAAAAAAGAAAACTTTCACTCACGACTTTCGATCCTCTTTGTTCTTCCATCGTTCCATCCATCCTTAACTTAACTTGACACGCGCATTTGCATCAATGTGCTTCTTTTATTTATTGTTTTCTGTAACTTACAACAATAGAAAGGGAAACTTCTAATCTAATGTACGTTGTAATGTATATATTACGCTCGGCAAACAAAATAATCTCGAGTCAGAAAAATCATCTTACCTTCGCAAATCTACATAGGATTTGTGTCATTCGTCGTATCGTTTCTTATCATCAATTTTAAGCCAATTTATACGGATAAAACACGCGAGGCACGTTCATATATGCTTGTTTAGACAACGTAGAGACGTAGTCATCGTAATAGAAGGACAACTTAATTGGCGCACCGAGAGAGAGAGAGACATGTCACGATTGCCCGTGATTAGAGCGAGTCTCAGGTGGGAGTCGGGAAGAAGAATTACGTTTACTCAAAGTGCGTCGATTAAGCCTTAAGAACGAGAGCATTTAAGATTTACGTTGGACGTACCTGCAGTTATAGGAAAGCGTCCGTTCTGTGTGCGGTAACGTCGATTAATCGCTTCTTCCATAGCTACTTTACACGTGAGTCCGTAGTATATTATATCGTTTATGGAATGCTCTTAGCTTGATATATTATCCTACGCGCTTTGCACCATTCGCGAATCTTCGATGATCCATGTTCGAGCACGAGGAGGGAGAAACGAAGGGAAACGTGGAAAGGCTTGCCAACCTTCTCCGTGATATTGGCGAAAATTTTTATTTGTAGACAGATTTGTAGACAATTTTTCAAATTGGCATGTTATCCGCGAAGAAAAAAAAAGAAAAAAAGAGAAAAAGAAGAAATCTGGACACTCGAGTTCACCGGGCAAAAAAAAGCTTTCTCGCTTGATAACTCACGAGCACCGCATTTTCACCGATAAAGAAACACGTGCTGATCTGGTCTATCACAAATGATCACGCATAGCCTTAGCTCTGATTGTTCCTTCACGATTTTGTTCACGGGTCAACGGCTGTATATGTATAAGTTAACGAAAATAACGATTGATTTTCAGTTGGACGAATATCACGATCGCCTCGAAGATTTTCCCGAGGAGGACGAAGACGTGAACAGCGATGACGACAACAACAGTGCCCCGCCGATAACGAAGATCGTCCCTAACAAACTTCAGGGTAAACCGTTCAAAATGGAAGTGATGGACTTTTAAAAGTTGTCAGATTCGTCGACTTTTGTCGTATCGTTTTCACCTTACGTGACGACAGAACATGGAAAGAGGGTTGATCGAACATTCTCATCCCTTTCGAATTTCGATTCTCAGGAAACGCGTAAGACGATACGAAATAATTGCAGGTACGAATCGACGAATGAAAGAGAGAGAGAGAGAGAGAGAGAGAGAGAGAGAGAGAGAGAGAGAGAGAGAGAATTGGTGCTTTTCGAGAGCAATACTAAATAACTTCCGTCGAATCCGTGTACACGAGAATGTGACACGAGATTAGCGTGTACGAAGCAAATAAAAAAAGAGGGAGAAAAAGCGGAGAAAACTTAGAAAAATACTCGGTCGATTCTAATCGCATTCGAAATCGCTTCGTCGCGCCTCCGCTTGCTTCACTTCGATCGTTCGATCGATCGATTTTATCGAGATCTAAATTAATTTTAACTGACTGAACGTTATCGTGCGACGATCGATTTTTATTCGGCTATTTTATTTAATTATTTGATTATAATCGGCATCGCATAGCGACTAAAAGGAAAGAAGGGAAAAAAAAAAAAAAAAAAAAAGGAAAAAAAGAAAAAAGAAAAAAAAACAGAATTACGCGCGAACACCCTCTTCACACCAGCAATTGTTACAAATTAGATTTCCTTCGCAGAGAGATGGAATCGCGTAAATTAATTAGTCACACCTTCCCTCGCGTATTTATAGGGAGAGTGTTGCCCGCTTCTTAACGTTCGAATTCGTTAAAAAAAACGATTGTTTCGTTTTCGATTTCTAGTTTTACATTTTCAACGACGAAAGAACGTTGGTTAAACAAACGAAACAAGTCGAATGTTCTGACGGAGGCTCGTCCGATTTTACAAAAATATATAGAAGAAAAACGCTCGAGACGTACGTATCGTCCTCAATGACACGTACGATCGATCGTTCGTCTTTAAAAATTTCGATCGATTTCTACGACGGTGCCTACGTTCCTATTGCTTCCAAACCTCAGGGGTGAGAGAAGAGAGAGAGGGAGAGAGAGAAAGAGAGAGAGAAAGAGAGAGAGAGAGAGAGAAAGAGAGAAGGTTAAAAGTCAAAAGAAGAAAAGATTTGCAAATGTCAAAACGTAACTAGAAATTATATGCCTACTCGCCTAAATAGAAACCGTACGAGTAGGAAATAGTGTATAGGCGGTATGACTCTTCAGTTGAGTTTCGTAATAATAAAACTTCCGAATCGCTAGTAAAATTCGATTACTTAAAACCACGAGGTAGAACCGCGAAATTCCGTCAGATGTCCGAGGCAGGAATGTCGAGACCGGGTCGAAGAATTTTTTCAAGATCGTACTTAACAAGAGAGAAAGAGAGAGAGAGAGAGAGAGAAAGAGAGAGTGAGGAAAAAAGGAAGAACCGACAAAAGGAAATTTTTTCGCGATGATTCTTCGAAGCTTCAAAGTTTAGTTTAGTCCGTTTCTGAAAATTGAATCGAAAAGTCGATATCGTTCTTTAGGTAAATTGAAAAATGAGAGGTGGAGAAAATGTATAGATTCGCGTCATTTCGCATATCTGTATCGAGTTTCTCGTTTGCTCTCAGTTTGAACATTTATTATTAAGCGTGGTCGATAATGATAAAGAAACAAATATTCCGCAGAAATAAGAGCGGCCATCGTCCCGTCGAGCAATGAATAAATTCGCTTGACAAGGTCAGTACCTGGCTCGAGAACATCGATAGTAATGCTAAGAAAATGAAAAGAAAAGAGAATACCGATACACTGTTCATCGCGTTGCGCCGCCATCGCGATGCTCGAAATGCTATATTTTTTGCAGCGCGAATGCTCGTATTTACCCCATGCGAGGGTATACCCCCTCCCCTCCCCCCCGTTCCATTTCTCCTTTCTTTCCGTTCTTCTGTTTTTTCCAGATAACACACCGGAGCATGATCGCTGCTGCGTTCGTAGACATTTAAATATAGATCGTGTATAGGGTATATTGTATACACAAATATCCAGAACGTTTAAATAAAAGCTTATTTATTGCCGAGTATACCAGACTCTATACGATATAGAGGAGAAATTTATTGACTTTCTTCCTTCTCACGTTCGATTCTCCTTTATCAATATTTTTCAATGTCACCACTATGTCGCGCACGATAAATTTAGCTATCGAAAAAAAAAAAAAAAAAGAGAAAAGAGAATATAAGTGCACGGAGATAATAATCAAACTATGAAATATGGATATTGCGAGTTGAATAACGCCCATTGATTTAATTGTATTGAAATAGTGATAATTACTAGCAATTTCAAATAATACAAAGCAAAGAAAATAAAAAAGAAACCGAGAGTTTGAAGTAGAACAAAATGTTAAACGGTGACGTCATTCTATAGACAGGAACTTATCAAGGTAGGAAACACATCAAAAGATAATATGTCTCTACGATAACTGTTCGCGTAATTTTATAAAGTTTGAAGTGTGAACGATAAAATAGTCAGTCATTAAAAGTAGATGGTTTACGTATCCGTCTCGCTGATCCGTTTTATTAACAATATCTATAAATCACAATATCTTTAATCACTTTTTACTGAAACGACAAATTATCTAGTGAATACAAATAACAACCGGCTCGATCGGCTCAATGGCGAAGGTCGCGAATTCTGGTTACGACTTATGCAAACGTACCGTGCAACCGATTGACAATAAACATAACAATAATTTTATAGTTACCTATCAAAATCATTCTTACGATATACAGGATTTTCTTCGCTATCATCCTGGAGGAAAAAAAATATTAAGTTATTTCAAAAATCAAAGCTTAGATAAAGCGTTCAAAGAAAATCCTCATTCGCAAGCAGCGTTTCACCTGTTGGAAGATTTTACGTTGAAAAATGAAGAAAAATATCAGAAATACGAAGTGAGTATATAAGAGATTATTTATTAAGATATCTGTTATTTTTTTTAAATTATTTTATCTATTTTATAATTTAAAAATTAATATTCCTATATATATATATATATATGCGACACGATGATTCATCGAGATTTTATAACATTGATGATTATGTTCGTAGAATCTGATTGATTGGAATGTATCTATACTTGGACAAGTAAGTTCGTTAGGTGAAAATTATTGGGAATGGGTTAATTTACCGGTGAATCGAAAAATTAGACTTTTCAAGTCAAACTTATTAGAGATTTTAACGATCACCCCTTGGTACATAATTCCGCTTGTATGGATACCGGTATCTATCTATTTCTTTTATTCAGGATGGATGCAAATAAATTACAACGATACTGGTAATCAATTTTACTAATAATTTTTATTTCTTTTTTAATTTTATTATTGATGTAATATTATTATGGAAAAAAAATATTCAAATATTTCATTGTCGATCTACAAAGAGAAATTATTAATTATTAAATATCCGTTATAAATATTTCTATTATCAATTGCAATTATAATCTATTAAATAAAAATATAATCTATTATACAATATTATTATTTTTAATAACTATTTATCGATATATTTTATTGAACTTATTTAAAACTTTCAGAAAGTACCTTCATTGAAATTTTAACTTCTTATATATTTGGTATATTGATATGGACTCTATTAGAATACGTGCTTCATCGTAAAGTTTTTCACTTTAAACCACCTACTTCTTCAAAATTACTTATTACTTTGCATTTTTTACTCCATGGAATTCATCATAAGGTAAAAATTTATTAGAAATTGCTAATTTATTTAGTTGCAAAAAAAAAAAGAAAAAAAATTTGATATATTCAAATCGTGTAATAATTTCACTTTTTATTTTATAGACACCACTTGATAATAGAAGATTAGTATTTCCTCCTATACCAGCTTTGTTAATAGCAATATTATTATTTCATATTTATAAAATATTATTTCCTCAAACAACTTTTTATTTTATTATCGCCGGTACAGCAACAGGTATTGTTGTTGAAATATTTATTAAATTCGGTGAATTTTGTTATAAATATTGATAATATATCATATATAATGATAATATATGAAATTTAAAAAAAAAAATTATTTTATAGGATATATGAGTTATGATTTAATACATTATTATCTACATCACGGTGCGCCAAAAGCTGGAACATATTTTTATTTATTGAAAAGAATTCATAATTATCATCATTTCTCACATCATGAATTAGGTATGAGATTATTTTTGTTTTAGAAATATTAGAAAAATCTACATGTAAAATTATATTTTTTAGGTTTTGGTATCAGCAGTAAACTATGGGATTATATATTTGGAACGACTATTTGTTTACGAAAATTGACAAAACCGATTGAATGGTAAATAGATCAATGAAAAATAATTTATATGCGAATTAAAAAAAAAAAATTTTTATAACAAATAAGTACAAAACAAAATAATTGAAGTCAATCTAATGATCATCTTATGATCGATGATTCGATCATAATACGATCGTTCAATATCATTTTAAGTACAAACAAGAAATAAAATATAGAATATATTTGTAAGATCAAACAATAATTAAAAAAAATTTTTATAAATGTTTTTATATGCTACAAACCTGAACAAATTAATGCTTTAAGTACATGAACGTATACTTATTTTGTAAAAATAATTTGAGCATATCAAATCAATTAATATCAATGATTAAAAATATAACATTGATATAGATAATTAAATATGATTAATTAAGATTAATAGATAAATAAACGTATTTAAGGTCCTTCAACTTTGATATTTTTTCTACCCATACTTAACTGTGGAAATGTGCTCTTATTTGTAGGAGGATTTAATCTAGAAGATAAATTAACAAATGCTTCAAACAAACTGGCCCTATCCATAACATTTACTTCATAATGTTTCAATTTCTCTCTAGTACACCAATTTGCAGCTTTACTTGCTGTATTCTCCAAACTATGAGATTCTTCTTCGGCTTTAGTTCGATTTCCAACAACAATTACCGTTATTTCTTTTTTATCTTTATTTCTATCAATATCTTTCTTCAAAGGGAAAAGCACATCTAACGATTCAGGTTTCGCAGTATCATAAACCAAAATGTATCCGTCGGCAAAACCAAGATAATGACGCGGTAATTGCTGATTATTTGAATTATTCTGAAGAGATTCCAATCCAGCGGTATCATAAAATCGTACTTTTTCCTTCGAACCGCGATCCGTTTCTATATTTGCAACATAAATATCCTCGATCGTAGGATGAATTTCCTATTGTTAAATTATAAAATTTAGTTTTTATATAATAAATAATTTTATACATTATTAAAATGCGAATTTAAAATTGAAAATTAATAATAATATAGAAATATGTTGTTTCACGTTTGATTTCAGACATAACCTAGATTCTTACCGTTTTGACATTGACATTTCCGTATATAAGCTGTTCTAACAATGCTGTTTTCCCTACGCCTTTCATTCCACAAACAATCACTTTCGTTGTTTTTCCCATATTCAATTTTTTAAACTGAACTGTTATTTATTTTGGACATCAAAACTTGTGTTATTTTCAGAAAAATAATTCAAGTCACAACAGAAAGTCAATATTAAATCTAGTAACTGAATGTTGACAAGTTTTTTCTAGGGGAAATATATATTATGCATTTCCATAAAAAATATCCCATTTTTCAAAAATTTTAAATTTATTTATTGTTGAGTAAATTAATACAATTTGAAAGAATTTAATTTTATTTAATTAAAAAATACTGTTGACAATTCACAAACAATAAACATTATCTATAATATTATAATTATTTTATTATTTTAAAATAATATCTTATTATATTAGAATTTATAAAATTTTCTTTGAAATATTTCACTTCCATAAAATATTTGACGGTAAATATTGACAATTTAATCATGGAATAATTAAAATAATGTTATTATAAGTAATTATAATTTACAGTATTTTATCTATATTACTGTAAAAATAAAATCTTACAATATATGAAAATTTGATATTAAAATTTTTTCTCCGTCAATTGTTAAATTTTTTTTCATTGTGTGTATGTATATTTATATATATATACAACACATATATGTGTAAAAATATTGCGTTATATGCATATATATGCTTTGTAATGTATTCTTTTTTGTAAATATTTTACGTTTTCGTACATATAATATTGTCATGTTCTTCATTGAAAACAATCTCTACATGCAATGTTAATCTTTTAATGTTTAAATTTTGTACTTTTTTTGATCAGTACTTGAGATTTCAATAATAATGAATTTCACATGCAATGAATTGCATACATTAACATCATGCATCTTAAATTCATTAGAAATTGCATTTTTAAGCAAACATCTTTCCAAGATGTCTGACCTTTTTTAAAAATAGACGAACCAAAGTACATCTTCATCTTAGATCTGATCAATACCACGTTACTTACTTCACGTGGAATTTATTATGATCTATGGTTTAGATACTTCTTTCATTTGTTCCATAGATTTTGTATCTTCAGCCAAAAGAGCATTCAAATCTATATCTTGAAAATTTACAGAATGTTGACTTGAACCTAAAATATAACACACACAAAATAAATAAATTTAAATATTAAAAGATACAAAAAAATATTATAAACAAATGATTATAATATAAACACACCTGCATGTGCAAGAAAAAGATCTTTCAAAAATCCTAATTCTTTTGTAAGCATTTTAATTTTTTCTTCAAGTAATTCATTCTCTGTTTTTAATTGATTTACACGTTCCAATGTTTGTTGAGTACGTAATTTGCTTTTAACTCTAGAACGTTTCACAGCCTGTAAAAATATTATAGTGTGGAATAAATCATTAAATATAATATATTGTTAATGAAATAATTAATTATGTAATAAATTACTTGATTATTTCTATCTCTACGTCTTCGATAATCTTCATCATCTTCTTCTTCAGAAATTTGTCTTTTCTTTTTATTTCCAGATGTATTTTCTTTGTTTTTTGGCGCCATCTGTAATTATTTAAAAAAAATATATTCAATGTTAAAATTATCTTAATGAAAATGAAATATTTAAATATGAAATAAAATGAAATATCATGCTAATTCTTAAAAAATCTATGATTCTTTTATTTATATTTTTATTTAATAAATTAAAATAAATTAATAAAAATATTAAAATATTAAAATTAAAATCACTTTGTTTATTATTTAAGTAATTATTTAAGTAATAAAAATAAAATATTTTAGTATATTTTATCTAATCCATGAAATAAATAAACAAATTCAGCAATTTAGAGCATTATTATATTAATTTAGAATCCTCTTTTCTCTATTTTTAATAAAATTTTAAAATTAAATATTTAAATAAAAAAAAAAATAAAAAAAATTTTTTTTTTAAATTTTATTTTACAGTTATATAAAATTTATTTAAAATTTCTAATGTGAAGAATTTATCCAAATTCTATTTGTATTTTAATCTTTTGTTAATGTTAAAAATATATTTAGTTTAATTCTATTTTTTTTTAATTATCATACAAATTATATTATAAATAAAATACTGTTACTCATTTAAATACTTTCTCTTGAATATTTATGTAGTAAATTTAACGAATTGTACATAATATATTTATGTATATATAACATATACATACATATATATATATATGCAAATTAAACAATGCGTCATATAAGCCAATGTTTTTAGAACATATAATAAATTTTAAAGATTTAGAATACTTTAAAATCTTTTCATATAACAAAAGATGTCACATTTCGTATATATTAATTTTAACTTACTTTTATATCTTATGCAAATTTTTATATTCTTAACTTCATATCACCATAAAAACTTAAAAATTGGAACTTTTATTACTAATAGTCCACCATGTGTGCCACAGTAAAACACATATCGATGATGCAATACTACTAAATGAAACTTGCAAATGATGTACAAGAAAACATGAACTGCACTCTATCGGCATATTTTTGTACTAAATATAATGACTTTGAATGAATATAAACTTCTTTATCGAATATTTTTTATTATTAAAAATTTTCATCGTATTGTACTTTACATCTGTGACAATCAGTACATATATAATGGTCGAAAGTTTTTTTATTATTTATTCACTCTCAGAACCACTTTCTCCACTGCCACTGCCAGATTCACTAGCACTGCCACTACCAGATTCACTACCACTGGCACTGGCTGATCTTGATCGTGAAGGAGATCTTGATTTGGATCGAGATTTCGAACTTGATGGAGATCCAGATCGAGATTTAACTGGAGATCCAGAATGAGATCTTGAAGCTGATTTTGATCGTGACCTTGATTTGGAAGAATTTCTGGACTGAGGAGTACCAGATCTTGACCTTGATTTGCTATGCGATCTAGAAGGTGACTGAGATTCAGAACGTGAACGAGAAGCAGATCTCGATTTTGATCGTGATATAGAACGAGATTTTGATCTAGAACCAGATTTCGAACGAGAACGAGATTTTCTACTAGATGCGCGAGAAGATGCTCTTGACGATGCTCTGGATTCAGCCTCATTTTCAGATACTTCTAAGAAAAAAATAAATTATTAAAAAAAAAATAATAATAAATTTTAATAATAAATTAAATAATAAATTTAAAATTATATTTTAAAAATTTGTAAAATATATATAATTAGTAGAATTTTATATATAATATTGCTGACCTCTTTCCTCCTCTGCTTTTTCAGTTTCTTGTTGAGGTTCTTCCTCTTCTTCTTCTTCCTCTTCTTCTTCTTCATCTTCATCTTCTTCTCCTGGTGGTTCTAGTTGTTTTTCTCTATATCTTTGCATTTTAAATTCATTAGCATTAAGTGGTCGATGTCTTACTATTAACCTCGTATTATTTGGTTGTTGTCCAACTTTTTGTCGACGTTTACTAAGTCGTACTCGCGTTTCCAATTCATTATAATATACCTGTAATATGAATATCAATAAAAATATCTATCTTATTTTATGTTACATATTAGTTAAATAGAACATACTCCATCTTGTCTTATGACAAGAAAATAATTTTCTTCATATCCTTTTGAAGCTTTACTCTTAACATTCCAATTATACTCTCTTGCCATTTTATATTCATATTCTTCATCATCTGCATAATCAATACCTGCTGTAAAATCTCTCCTACGTTTTTCTAATGTTTCTTCCAAAGGCAAGAAATATGCTACAAATTGTTCTCCACTTTCATCCATAACACCACTAAAATAATATATTTATTATAAAATATCTATGTATTATATGTTATAAAATAAAAAATTATAAATTATGTCTAATAAATAATAAATTTACCGAATCATAGCTTGTGACATTTCTTCAATTTGAGCTGGTACAGAACGTCCAGTTGGAGCTGGATCTGAATCAAATATGACTTGAGCACAAGGATATTTCCAAAGCTGAAAAAAAATAATAAAAAACATAAATAAAAGTATAAAATTAATATATTTATATCATATAAAAATATTTAAAATACCTTGAAATCTGGAAATACTGGTAAAATTTCTACAGGTACTACATTTGGTTTACTATAATGCCTTTCAATTGGCTTTTTATTATCTTCAAATGTTTTTTCTATAGCTTTTATTTGACTTTCACGATCCATATATAATGTTTCTTCCTATATAATCATAAAATAAAATTTTATATATATGCAATAAAAATTTTAATATAAAATAAAAAAAAATATAAAAATATTTTAAAAAAACTTACTTTTAAATTCTTCTTAATACTATAACCAACTTTAGCTTCAACTTTATCCACAGTTTGTGGTTGAAATCTAGTTTGTTCTGTAGAAATATATTCAGTTCGTCTGAGCCAAGATACACTTCTGGCATGATGTCTAGATCTTTTTGAATCTTGTGGAGTAAGAACATCTTCTTCTAAAAGTTTTTCATCAGCAGGATCTAATTGAGAATTTACATCTCCAGCATATGTATCTTTGTTTATAAGATCAATTTCTACACCTAAATCATGTTCTGTCAATACTTCATATTTATAATTACGTTCCAGTGAAGTTGGATTATATTGAATAAACCTATGAATATTATTCAAATATATATATTATGCAAAATATTATTAACATTTAAACATATAATCATATTAACATATAATCTTACCGAGTAGATTCAAAAGGATATGTAATAAACTTAGGATCAAATGGTATATCAGGTAATGTATTGCAATATTTAACTCTACATATTAATTCAGATCTGAAATAAATATAATAAATATTATTACAATAAAAACTACAGGTTATAATTAATTTTTACCTTTTTTCTGCTGGTCTAGCTGTTCGTTTATCCCGTTCAGCTGTATTACCATTAGTTTGAATAGTAGGAGCCATATTAAATTAATATATAAAACTTAACAATATTTTAATAATATTTTAATATTTTAAATCATTACAATAAAATTACAGAACAATCTTTCAAGGTGTATATCACACGACCATACTTTGTGTATCAAAAACAATTTATCTCACGCCATCTAGTTATAACTAACAACATATTTAAATTAAAAACAACATTTATTTTTTTTCTTTTAATCTTAAAAAACGGGAAATTTGTATCATTTAATTATTTATATTTATTATCTAATACTTAACAATATTTGTCAAAATAACATTATTATAAAAATTTAATCTTTAATAT